TGGAGATGTTTCCATGTGGGAGGGTATGTACGATCAACTACAAGAAAAAAATGATCGAGCAGTACATGTCCATAGTGAGAGTTGAACTCACAGCACCTGGAGGACGGCGAAATACCCAACTAGTGTTGTTAGTACGTACACCATATGGACAATCAACATGTTGGAAATATGTCGCCAGATGGTAGGACATGTAGCAGACCACACAAAAAAAAAGAACCCGCAGGCCAGGCCATGTCTGTAGCGAGAGTCGAACTCGCGTCACCTGTGAAGAATATACAGACCTGGAAGTTAGACCAGGTGTGTTACCAGTTACACCATACAGACATCGATTGCTAGGAACTTGGCTACCACATGGGTAGTTGGGACAAAAGGGACAGTCCCTCCCTAGATATATACAATGTCCCTCTACAGACCGTCCCCCCTACACGATATAAGGAATATTGTACAACTACTCGGTAGATAGGATATAGAGTGTATGAATGTCCTCGGCAAGCTGCTCGGCCTCCGCTTCCTCCGCATGCTCATCTTCTAGCTCTTCCTCCTCGGGGGGTCTCGAAGCACGCATCTCTTCTGCCAATTCGGCTGCTCGGGCCTTGGCCTCCCGTCGTCCAGATTCATCTACACCCTCCATCGGAGTGGGCCGTGGAGTTGGTGGAAGCCGAACACCGGGCGTCAGGGTTCCTGTGAATCGGGGACCTGCTTTCTCGGCGAGCTTTTTGAACCGTTTGAGATGGGTATCGGCATATCTCTCCCGCTGAAGCCGATACTCCCTAACTGCCCACGCGAGCTGGGGGTTTGTCTCCTCGAGCTCCGCTTCCTTCCGAGTCAAAAAGATCTTCTCGTCCCGGATGGCAGTGATCACCCGGCGGATCTCGATGTTACACCAAATGATTTCCTCCTTGGCCCTCTCAATCTTGAAGTATTTGTCGAGCAGCACTCGAGCAGGCAGCGTGGCCCACGGCCGGACCTCCTTGAAGGCCTCTGGATCCTTCAGGAGGTCGTAGTCGGCGAGAAAGGCATACTCCACCACCTCGTGCCACTCCAGCTTCCGACCCGGAGGGACCATGGAGGCCGCGGCGTCGTTGTAGGTCTTCAACGCATTTCTGATTGCCTGGGACCTGGCTTGAAGAGCCTTGGCAATGTGCTTCCGTAACTTGTATCCTACAGGGCCAAAATAAGGTGAGACGATCAGTAAAGTGAAAGAAAAGACTTGGCCTGTCTGGGAAAGGTTCATTTTGGTCAGCTTGAACATCCGTTGAATCACAAGACGTTCCAGCTTGAGCAGGGCTAGACGGTACTGACGGGTGCTCACAAGATGGGCCGCTTCTGCCCACTCTGGCGAGGTTGGCTCCCAACGGTCAGCCACGCCCATCTCCAACTCCGACGCCTGGACTTCGTCAAAAGCCTTGTCGTAGTTCTCCTGGGCATGCCGCAAGACTACCCTGGAGGCTTGTTTCTTGGCGAGTTCGAGCTTCAGGCTGGATGCCGTGGCGATGGGTGGTGTCGGGACCGAGGAGGCGGTGGGGGGACACGGTGTCGGGACCGAGGACGCGGTGGGGGGACACGATGTCGGGACCGAGGACGCGGTGGGGGGACACAACGTCGGGACCGAGGACGCGGTAGGGGGGACAAGGTGTCGGGACCGATGACGTGGTAAGCGGGACATTGCCGTGGGGGGGACATCGGAGGAAAGCGGTGGGGAAGGGGACAATCAACTTCGACTGGCGCAGATAATAGGGAAGGAAACGCACTGTCGATCCGCGAAGTTAACGAGACGCTGGTAATATTGCATTTCCTGGGTATCCTCCTCTGCCTCCTTTATTAGGCCCTTCAGGAATTTGAACTCCTCCTGGAGCCGGCGAGGAAATTCGCTAACATTGTCGATTCCCGCTACGGCCATGGCCGTGTGGAGGGAGGTTTCCTCCTCGAGGATCTCCAGTGCTTGCCAGTAGTTGTCAACGAGGAATTTACCTAAAACCGCCATTGTCAATAAGAAAAAAAGGGTTGATCAAAGGAAAATTCGCACTGAGGTTGGTGTACGCCTCATGAACATCGACGTGCTCAAAGTACTGGGTGATGGTCTGGAGTCGGTGGAAAACGCTCGCATATCGGATGGAGCCAGCCATGGCATTTGAGCCTGCGAAAAACCGCTCGCAGGTTTCCAAGTCCTCCAGTCCCAGCCCCTCAATGTAGCTTACAAGGAAGCAAAGTTGACAAAGTCGGTTGTGACCATGTCCATGGAAAGCTCCAACTAGCAACCGGAGCTTTTGAAGTAGTGCCCGCATTCCAAGGGGGCTGTTCCAGAGTGTGGTTGCAGTACCACAACCCGTGTCGTAGCCACACCCGGTACCGGCCGGGAACTCCTGGAGCACCTCGGCGGGCATGGCAAGGGGATATTTCGACCTAGGAGATGTGCATTAGAGGGACGTGTTTAGGCGGAGGGGGGACATTTTAAGGGGACGGGTGAAGGATGGGGGGGGACGGAAGAATGGGACACAGTGGCATGGGGGGGGGCTCACAGTTCTCCACTACGAATCATGTTGATCGCCCACAGCACGAAACTGTGTCTGCACAACATCAGGAAGATTCCGGTCTCGTCGTATACTCCCCACATCTTCTTGGTGCTGTCTTCGGCGAGGTTCTTCCATTGCTCTTCGCACGCGGACTTCTCCTCCACTCTGAGCTTGCACTGCGGCATTCCGCCTTCAGCTTGGGAACTCCGGGGTAGAGGAAGAACCTTACCTGCTCTTTTATCTTATCCTTTGCCCACAGATTCACCTTGTCGCGAGGGATGAAGTAGTCCTTTCCAGCAGTCGCGGCCCGGGGGTCAAACCTTTCCTTTGAGACCCCTGGGAGCAGGTTACCCTCCTCGTCGTAGTCCTTCGGTTCCTTCTGAAGGACTCGTTTCAAAGAGTCGTTGCCGTCCATGGTGACCAGCATGGGGTACTCCAAGGGCAGCTCCCCCTCGAGCTTGTACATGCAAGCGTCACAGCAGTTAGTTGCTCGCCAGTTGGGAGTGTCGCGGCCTAACACATGCTTGACACGGTAGGCCACAATGTTACGGGCACCCAGGTACACGTCGTATGCTACAGAGAACTGGTGGGCAACATAGGGCTTGAAGGGGAGTTTATGGAGATCTGCCAGGGTCTTGACCCACTTCTGAATTGACAGGCCGGGGGCTCGCACATGGGCAATTCGAAAGAGTTCCAAGGTTTGAGTAGAAAAAGCCACCTGAGCATTGTATGGGGCGCTCGGGAATGCCCCCTGCCATATCATGGAACAGATGTCGAATACATCGGCCTTGTATGTAGGGAGAGTGACAGAGAAAGAGTCTGGCAGGCAAGTGAGAACTAGGAAACCGGGAAGAGAAAAAACACGGACCAAAAATATCTACCACTGTCAAGGTGCAAGTGCCGTCGGACTTCTCCTTTGTCGAAGGGATCGGACCGTCTAGAGTGTCCCCAACAAGATGGCTCCACTTGAGGTACGCGTCGGCGATGGCTTCCATCTGGGCTGCGAAAGCTTCGACCTGCTTCTTTGTCCTGTCACGTCGGATACGGCGGTCTGGAGCTCGCCTGAGAGGGAAAAATATAAGGGAATTTGAAAGAAAGAGAAGAGAGAGGACACACTTCTTCTTGGCCGTCTCCCCTTCCCCACGCATACCTCCCTTGTCCCCTCTCACAGTCCCCCCCTGTCGATACCTGGTGCGTTTCGCCTCTACCAGTGCACCTGTCCCCCCTCCTGCCCCCTCCCCACACATACCTCCCCTGTCCCCCCTCACAGTCCCCCCCGTCGATACCTGGTGCGTTTCGCCTCTGAGTGCACCTGTCCCCCCTCCCGCGTCCCCTTCCCCACACATACCTCCCTTGTCCCCTCTCACAGTCCCCCCCATCGATACCTGGTGCGTTTCGCCTCTGAGTGCACCTGTCCCCCCTCCCGCATCCCCTTCCCCACACATACCTCCCTTGTCCCCTCTCACAGTCCCCCCCATCGATACCTGGTGTGTTTCGCCTCTGAGTGCACCTGTCCCCCTCCTCAGTCCCTCTCCCCGTCGATAGCTCATGCCTGTCCCTTCACGTCCCCTTCAAGTGCACCTGTCCCCCTCCTAGGTCCCTCTCCCCATCGATAGCTCATGTCTGTCCCTTCACATCCCCTTCAAGTGCACCTGTCCCCCTCCTAGGTCCCTCTCCCCGTCGATAGCTCATGTCTGTCCCTTCACGTCCCCTTCCCACCGTCACCTACACCCTCCCCCCCCCCTCCCTCCCCAAAAAAAGCCTTAAGAGGGGGGCAAACAGTCCCTCGTAGGCTTGTTAGCCTGTTTTCGTCCCCTTGAGAACAGGCTAACAAGCCTTGTTATTCGGGCAGGACAGGTGATCATAAGTCAGACAGGAAAAAATCATAGTTGAAACGAAATTCAAGGGATGTATGCTCAACTCCAATGTGCATTGCACACTTGCAAGTTATGCACAACTATCCACCCCACTTGGAAGGGAAGAAAGCCCTCGTGGATCGTGGTGATCATTCATGCCTTATTATCGGAAGTTGAATGTTAATGGACAGAGAGGGTTCGATTCCCTCCGAGGGCTTACACGTGGAATGTCCATCTTTTTTTTTGGAGTGGAAGGTACTGTGGTGGGCACTAAGTAGCAGCACACTTGCCCGCCTTGAATGTCACCTCAAATATTGCCTAGTGTCGGGTGAAATAAAGCAAATTGTAGGTACTGAAAATTCAAGTGGAATGAAATTCGAGGGGATAGGGTGGTCCAAGTGTGGTCCAAGTGTTTTAAGTTGGCACTGGAGTTATTGTGGTGGGCCGGGACACTTGACCTTTTTTTCCTCGGTACTGCAGATTCAGCTCTCATCTTAAGCAGGCCTTCTCAAAGCTGGTGCAAACATCATACCGCTGGGGAACAAGTATTGAAAAAAAAAATAAGAGTGACAATAACTTTTGAGGGCCTCTATGAATGCCCACCTACTCACCCCACTTTCAGAGCGATAAAGCCTTTGTGGATTGTGGTGATCATCCATTCCTTATGAACAGTTTTCTGGAGAGTTGAATGTAAATGGACAGTGGGGGTTCGATTCCCTCCGAGGGCTTAGCGAGATGTTCCCCGTTCTTTTTGGAGTTGAAGGTACTGTGGGCAACAGCGAGACACTTACCGTTTTTTCCGCCAGTGGGAATACTCCCTGCCCTCAGGGTGACTCAAGTACATACTGCAGTCACGGTGTGTATCTGGAAAAGTAATGCACAGACAAAGTAGAACCAAAATTGCACACCTATTGACCCTAGTTGCAGGGTAACAAAGCCCTTGTGGATCATGGCGATCATCCGTTCCGTGGAAGCTAGCGAGTAGCAAATGGACAGTGGGGGTTCGATTCCCTCCGGGGCATGTTGAGGGCCTGACGCTTCAAGATTTTTTTAGTCGAACTTATTGCCGTGCTGCCCTTTGTTCGGTCGCGAACCCGGGCCTGAACCAAGTTTGACTCAACTCTAGATCGAGGTGTTTCTGGAACATCAACACACAGAGAGTGTTCAAAGTTGAACCAGAATGGATTATCGCACATCTATCGAGGGCAATTGGAAGGTAAGAAAGCCTTTGTGGATCGTGGTGATCATCCATGCCTTATTATCAGGTTCCACGAAAGTTAAATGCAAATGGACAGCGGGGGTTCGACTCCCTCCGGAGGCATGGCGAGGTGTATAGCAGCTTTTAACTTGTTGTTCCAGTGCGTGCCCTTTTTGGCACCAGGCAGGTTCAACAGTCAAATTAAACAAGTAGTTGACAAATAAAGGAGAGATAAAATCAAGGTGGAACCAAATTGCACACCAACATACACTGCGTTCCGCCCCCAGGTAGACGGACCCTCCGTCTACCCACGTAGACGATGGGGTAGACGGTCATGTCCATCTACCTACAGCTACACGCGTAGACATTGGGTGTCTACGTTCATCAACGTTCGGCTACGTTCGGCTACCGCCGTAGCCGAATGTGGCCGAGCGTAGCCGAACGTAGATGAACATGTAGATCTGATGCGGCAGCCTCGAGGGATTTTAAAATAGGTACATTTGAGGTACATACCACATTTCTGTGGGTTTAGAGGTCTGCCCAACTCATTGAGAGGGCCTGGTGTCTCAAGAGGAAGAGCATTGAAATATGGCGTAGGGTTAAGCCAAAGCGCACGGTTTAGTGGATCTACGGGCGTAGACGGACGTAGACGGATGTGATGGCATGTAGCCGAACGTAGCCGCATGTAGCCGAACGTAGCGGAGGCGCGTCCACCTGACGTAGAGACATGTCGACGCAATTAGATGGATGTTCCATCTACCTGCGTCTACCCCCTTCGTCTACACGCGTAGATGCAGGTAGAGGCATGTCGACCATCAGGAAAAACCAAACTTGCCCCAGAGACCCACAGAGACCCACATAGACGTCATAGACACCATAGACAATGGCCTTCTATGAGAGACCCCCATAGCAAGGTGGGAGGGGGGGGGGGGGGGGGGGGGGGGGTCAACTCCATAGACACCCATAGACACCCATAAATCCCTGTTTTCTATGAAACTACCCTGTTTTCTATGAGATTTGTGAACTTTTTTTTTGCTTCACAGCAGTTTAAAACCCGCACAAAAACATATGTTAGATAGCATTTCAGGTTTCTATTGCAGAACTTGCTGCACTGCGGTACCTTTTCAGGCCTTTTCTTACTATTCACGTTGTTTTTCCATTTGAATGTAAATTACTTTCAGTTAAGGTACTATACTATGCATATGAACATCCCTTGTGTAGAGGATTCATCCGGCGGATCCGCCGGATGTCCTCCTTAAGGTGCGCAGTTATCCTTCACGATCTTTATTATCCTTGAAGCCCCCGTATAATCGTTCAAGAGTCATCCCTTAAAGGATTTAAAGCCCACATTCAAGGTTAAAAAATGTTGTCCTTTACGATTATTCACCCTCGTTCACAACCGTCAACATCCTTCAGGTCCCCTCTAAAACCTTCAGGATTGACCGGCACATGAACGATGCGAGTGATCCTTTAGGATCATCTCACCTCCTTCAAGGTGACTCAGAGTGCCTGAACGACGCACCAACTATCCTTAAGGCCCCGTTCAACCCTTCATGATAGTTCTGTCCCTTAAGGGTCCCGTCAAACCTTTCACGATAATTCTGACCCTTCAGGCCTCGATTAAATCTTTCACAATAACTATGCCCCATCATGTCTACAAACCTTCATGAGATGATTGTCCTTGGTGTGTGTATGGTATTAAAACAAAGTATGTTTGGGGTAATTAAGAGCGTGGTTCAGGTCGGCTTCAAGCAGGCTTCGAAACCTGAACCGGACTCCGAATTGAAGTAACCTATTCTAAGGAGTTATAAGTTGGAGTTCCGCGCTCGGTCCTGGCATTCATCCTACTCAATTGCTTCCACAGAATTGCGCGTCCCTTGGAGTTTATTTAGAAATAAAGTTGGCATTCCCTGTGTTCGGACGTCTCAAGGTGTATAGGTCTTGAAATTCTCAACAGTTATAATTGTTGTTCTAGTCCACCTTCAACTTGAAGTGGAAGAAAGGACTGTAGGACACCCTTACCAAGTGAGTACACAGACATAGCCCCTAGGCCACCTTTTCACAACCCCGAGGAGCCCGAATTTTACCCATACTCGAACACGTCCGAACACCGAACTGAACGCGGGTTCAAGTTCAGCGTTCGGATCACCCTAATTCTAGTGTCCCCAGAACAATATAATCTATATCTACCCCAAGTCGACACTGCATTTTCGGTCAATGAGTAGCACAGCGCGTCAAGAACGCGTCAATACAGTTGGATATACATGTACTAACTCACTCGGGGCGTATCTCGGTTCAACACTCAAGAGCATACTTCATGTGCACAGAGATTTGCCTTGGCATACTTCGAGGAAGACACCTATAATTGAAGTTGGTTAGCTTCAGAGACATTGTGTTCAGTCCACGACACACAAAAATTTAGGGGGATGGAATCCCGACAGTTTTCAAATAACCTATAGACATAGATGTTCGTGAGCTCAGAGTTGGTTAGAAACGCGTAAATTCGTTCTTAGCTCCAGGAAAACCTTCCGCCTGGCCCTCGGTCGGCATCTTGAATTTGCTGGGCATGAACAACTCGACCCCAGCCTCCTGTTACGACGTCGACCTTGTGTTCCTTCAGGATGTCACTGCGGCGACTGTTGTGGCATCGCTTGTGTCGACTTCTAGGGCCTCGACGCTCGAGTAACGGTTCTGCGGAGAATCCGGCACGCGAGATTAGGACGACGGAGACATTTTTGGTAGTGGTGGCGTTGACGACTGGGATACCGAGCCTTCCGCTTCCTGAGGTAAGTACAGTCTGTCAACCTACAAAGAGCCTCTTTGATTCCAGTTTTTGCTGAGCTAAACAGCTCCAGAGGGCCGTGGTATTACCTTTTCAGTAGGGGAGGCAGTGTCTCAATTTTCCGTGCCGCGTTTGATAACTTTCGTCGTTGCTCGTGTCTTCCGCGCTGCGCTTCAACCTTTCCCACGGTTCAACCTGCGCATCAATATTGCCGTTCTTCAAGTCGGATGGATTGGTGTTCTTTTTAATGGCGAGTAGAGCTTCCTAGCAAGCAGCGGAAATATCCAGTTGAAAGACTTCATCTCTTAAAATTAAATGGGACTCCGCGCTGATATTCTATCTTCAACAAAAAATGTCAACCTTGAGTTGCGTCGCGCTTAGACGACCCGGTAAAACTTCGACGAACATCTCAACCTATTACCGTCAAAGTAAATACATCCAATTCACATGCCGCCGACGTGGATTGCTACCGCCGCGATTTGCCATAATTAAAATGAAGTATTTACCTTTCACGAAAGAGAATGTGCTGAAGGGACACCAGGGAAGCAATTGTCAACAAATGATCAGGTATTCGAGTACAAACAGAGTGATGAGGAATGCAGTACGGCGGGATGATTATGTTATGTCCTGGAGAAGACGCAGGATTCACCAGATTTGTCCTGGACCGACACGTCCAAAACCTCCTCCTCTGGCGTACATCAAGACACGCAAGTACGAGCGGACCGCGGGCCGAATGTCTTGACTAGGAGCCACCAACCGACCCACGCACCAAATGCTGATAGGCCGCCGTATGTGACCTCAAACCTTTTACCGTCCATTACCCCGTCATTCTGGGCTCATAATTCACTTGCAATGCACAACTGGGAGCGGAAACAGGATCCATTCAATGCATGTACATACAGACTAAATCACAGACCAAGTATTTACCGACAATAATATACCCCTTCTTCATACACCCCGACGTCACAGTCTCCGCTGCTGATTCAGAACCTGGCGGCACTGATATTTCAGACCACAGAATTGAATGCTGAGAAAGAAAATTATCGTGGAACAAGACTGAAGTAAAAAAAGGCATGATTAGGAGACGACATTAAAAGAGAAGCCAGACATGAACACACCTTCTCTAAGAGCTCTCCTACAACAGGTGGGGAGAATAATCGGAGTTAATAGTTTCGGCCTAAAGGAGAGCTACATACTTTGTTTCAAAAGAGGGGCGCCGATGGCTTGCAAACTAATCTGCGAAAGGTTGATTCCATTTGCGCGCGGGTTCGGACGCATAATGGTCGTGATGTAGTGCGGGGGTAAAGAGGACGCACCAGACAGCGCGCGCACGTGCTGGAGGAATCCGTACACGCTCGGAGATAGCGGCGGATATTTTGGAGTGTGTAGCGCGAGCCGCGGTGTGGACATGGTGAGCGCGCACTGAATCGAGATCAGGATAGATTATAGACTGCTTACCTAGTTCCGGCACTCTTTGGTTAATGTCGGATCTTGACAGCGTTGGTATTGGCGCCGACGGGCAGAATCGATGCCGAGTGCACGCCACCACTTTCTCCGCATGTGGGGACTTGCCGTGCACAGTGCGATGGGACCTGGGGACGGCGCACGATGAGAAAAAAAAGATGAATATGAGATTCGAGAGGACCAGTGGCCGGATAACTTACTAGCACCCGTGCTCCCCACGTCCCTCACGAGCCATGCACAGCTAAGGCCCACCAGCTTGCTAGCTTTTGCTCCTTGTGCGCCCG